CATCCCAAGCACTGCCAGTAAGTTTCCACAGGATGTTATTGCGTGCAGCTACTTTGTACTTGGTGTTCATACAGTATTTCCTAAATGTTAGTGTTCAATCTAGGTGATATCAAGATATTAGGATGGGAACAGTGTTCGAGCTCTTGGCCTTCCCAGGTAATTTTCAATTTCCTGTTCAATTCACGGTTATGTAGGTGGAAAGCACACACTTGTGTCTTGGCAAGGTTAGGCTTCAGGTGGTTATCTTTGGTGTTTTTTTATTTACCTCATTTCTATCCCATCCTATCTTACCCCAGGGAGAACTTAGAGTGGCTTACAACTTGGCACAGTTCAATGCCACATTGAAACAAAAATATAACAGATTATAAAAACATTACAAACTACATCATTAAACATATTGATTTGCTGGAATGATCTTTAGCTTGAGAGATCTTTCAAGGCATTAGTAAGTTGTTTTTTGACTGCTTTGAAGTCTTTTGCTTGTGTTGTTAGGTCAAGATCAGCATATATAAAGCTCTTTGTGAGTGGTGGCTATGGCTGATCTATATGGACTATCTGCTGTTGCAAATTTCTGGTTTTAATATTAGCACTTTCTTTAAAAACACTGTTTTAAAGTTTTACACTTTTGCTCTGTGACCATAATAATAATAAAAAAAAATCTCTAGAGCAGTGGTGTCAGGATGTGGCCTTCGAGTTAAGTCAACAAAGCTGGATCCTCCTTTCCTCGAAGACTCCTTTCTGACATCGATGTGAATTATGGTTTGATAAGGGGGGCCATCTAGCAAACGGGAATCCTGACAAGTGGTTCTCAACCTTCCTAATGCCACAACCTCTTAATACAGTTCCTCATGTTGTTGTGACCCCCAAGAATAAAATTGTTTTTGTTGCTACTTCATAACTCTAATTTTGCTACTGTTATGAATTGTAAACATCTGATATGCAGGATGTATTCTCATTCACTAGACCAAGACTTGGCACAAATCCCTGATACGTCCACATTTGAATACTGATGGAATGAGGGGGGATTGGTTTTGCCATTTGGGAGTTGTAGTTGCAGTCATTTATAGTTAACCTACAATCAAAGAGCATTCTGAACTCCACCAAGGATGGAATTGAACTAAAATTGGCAGACAGAACTCCCTTGACCAACAGAAAATACACCTCATGACCCCCCCCCCCGGGGTCCTGATCCCCAGGTTGAGAAACACTGCTCTAGAGCAAGCCTGCACAACCTCCAGGTGTTTTGGACTTCAGCTCCCAGAATTCCTGGACACTGGACAAGCTGTCTAGAGCTCCTGGGAGCTGGAGGCTGAAACACTTGGAGGACCACAGGTTGTACAAGCCTGCTCTATAGCATATATCATCAGTATTCCACATTTGCTAGATTTAGCAGCACAGAATTCCCATAAAACTAAAAAAAACATGAATAAGGAAATACGCTTCTGGGTTTGTTTGTTTGTTTGTTTGTTTACTTCAGATAACATGTCTCTAGCAATTTCTATGTTCTCTAGCATGACCAGACAATCAAGAGATTCCTAGCGTGAATATATTAATCAAATCCATAAATAATCAAATCCACAAAAGTAAAAACTGCAAATGTGGAGAGCCAACTCGACTTGCTTACTTAGGTGGAAAAGGAGGGGACTGGGGTACAAATTCACTTGCTCACATGGCAAAGAAAAAATTGATGGTATGGGGGAATGTGAGGAAGGAGGATGTGCATCTGCATACACTCTCTCATATTTTTGCTTACTTGCACAGAGTAGAAAGGGCGGAGAAGCACATGGAGCAGGCCCGTAGCCAGGATTTTGTTTCGGGGGAGCTGAGTTTGATTCGGGGGGGAGGGGGCTGAGTCTGAGTGAAAGAGGGTCTACCCTAGCAAACCTTTTGTATCATTACCCCAATACCCCCATGCATATGGGATATATTGAGCATGGTGATCAGATCATGATATGAATAAACATAAGTTTAAATAATGTACCAGTAAGGCCTTCTCGGGGACCACCATGAGAATTTCGGGGGGGGGGGGGCTGAAGCCCCCCAAGCGCCCCCCCCCCCCCCAGGCTACATGCCTGACATGGAGGGAGGGAGAATGTATTTTCCTCCTTGCATTTCTTGCACAAATTGTCTGAGGCAAAGTGGATGCGATGGGGAAAATTAGGACAGAGGGGAAATTGATGGTGCACAGTCTCTGAGGCAGACAGGGACAGACCAGGGGAAGAGAAGATAGCAGGGGTGGGTGGCATGGCAGCAATGGCAGGAGGAAAACAAGAGGAGTAAGAAGGGGCAGGAAGGAGTGCAAAGGCACTGGCTTTTCATCGGTCTACCTTGAAGAACAGCAGAAGTGAGGGAATGCATGAGGAAATATGAATATGCTTGGGTCTAGCAATCTCACCAGTACATATACATTTTGAGTGTGTTAAACATGCTTTAGGGGGCCTAGAAATATTTGCCCTCAAGCCCCAGAGAACTGGAGGGACAACTGCAGCAATAAAATATAATAATAATAATAATAATAATAATAATAATAATAAACCTTTATTTATACCCCGCTACTATCTCCCGAAGGACTCAGTGCAGCTTACAAGAGACCGAGCCCAAATACATCAGTAAAAACACAACAACAACAATACAATAATAAAAAACTCATAAACAAAGCAAAAAACATAAACAATAACAACGCAACACATTAAAACCTGTGGCAGGGCCAAATGTAGTGCTTAAAATCTTTAAAAGTGCTGGGCATGATCAGGTGAAATAGGATAAATATTTTAGGGATAGGTGGGGCGTGCAAGCAATTCTAGATCTCTACTAAAGTGCATTTGGGACATATTGCTTGGAGTTTCCTTACTGTACATCTGAGCACAACCATTGCCAAACCAACTCCATTATGAAAATCCTTCAGCCTTAAAAATGATGCCTCCAGAAAACTCATAAGATCCAGCCTTAATGAAATAGACAGTCAGGGAGGAAAAGTGAACTTAGGGCAGAAGCATGCAGTTGAGACCAACTGTACCTTATTTAATTTCCTGGTTCCTCTTACTGCAAATTAGTTACAAATTGACCTATTTGTTTATATTTTTACTACTTACACATAAGACTGGCTAGCCAAAATTGATTTTAGTGTATATTTTTAAAATATGGCCTCAATCAAATTGCTACTCTTAAAGCATACCCTCTGGATAAATGTAATTTTCATATATGTTGGCATAAAATTCAGCAGTTGATTCAACAGGTTTACTTTAATTAGCCAGCTGCGTATTAACATACAACCATCTCTCTATTTTTGACAGCATTCAAGTGTTTTGCGCTACTATTTTGAGCATCTTTAGTTTTATAGAATCATAAAATAATAAAGTTGGAAGAGACCACATGGGCCATCTAGTCCAACCCCCTGCCTTGCAGGAAAAGCACAACCAAAGTATCCCTGACAGATGGCCATCCAGCCTCTGTTTAAAGGCCTCCAAGGAAGGAGCTTTCACCACACTCGAAAGCAGAGAGTTCCACTGCTGCACAGCTTGTATGATCAGGAAGTTCTTCCTAATGTTCAGGTGGAATCTCATTTCCTGTAATTTGAACCCATTTCTCTGAGTCCTAGTTTTCTGGGCAGCAATTTGTGAGATCCTTCCATTTCTTTTCTTCCCAGAAAACAACGAAGCAGAACTCAGCGGATTTTTCTAGGTATTCAAGAATCTGGATACACAGTTTCAAATCCCAAGAGAGTTTGAGATTTCTTTCTCTTCAACAACTCCTGCATTCTTAAAACTACTCAAGACCTGAATACCGAGAGTCTTTCAAAATGGATTGATCCTGAACAAGCAATCTACTGCTCAATGTTACAATCCCCTCAATTCTGTGCTCAAGTCTTTGGTCATATCTGAAGTAGCTTTACAGAATCTCTAAGAACAAGAACAAGCAAGGCCTCAACTATCATAGGGACAAATAATTAAAATGGAAAAAATAGTGTGCATCACTCTATTTTGAGGAGCTGATAGACAACCCAGAACCAAATTTTTAGGCAGCACAAGAAGCATGGCAAAGGAAACTACATTACCTAAGCAGATGAAATCACTAATGTCAACACAGACAAGGTCAAGGATAGTTACTTTTCTCAAGAGTAGCTGATTAGTAAGAAGTTACACATGAATCAGAATTGTTACTTCCTGAAAATTTGTATTAACAAATATTAAATCTTTTCCACATGCTACACGATGGACAAGCCTAAGGATATATGGATACACCTGACTATAAGATGCAATTAATCCCAATCCTGTAAAAGATTTACATCATGCTTTTTTTTCTTTGCACAATTGAGATACAAGGCAATGTACAGTAAAACTGCTTAAGTATATAAAAGAAATAAAATAATGTACACAATTTAAAGCCGTACAACAAAGGAAAACTAAAGTGTCCATGCAGTTAAAAACTACGTGCACAAAGTGAAGTCAGCAGTGTATGCTTCGCCGAAATAAAAATATATTTTACACACCAGCAGAAAGTAAATAGGAAGCTTGCATGGACTCCATTGGAAAGGAGTTTGACAGCATGGGAGCATGAACAAGTTCTCTCATGTCTGCATTAGAGACTCCTGCAAAGGTGGTGGGACCCTTAGGAGTCTTCTCTGAAGACCTCAGAGCCAAGAGAACACAGCCTCCTCAGATAACCTGTACTAAAATTGCATAGAGTTTCCTAGGTCATAGTTGGCACTCTGAATTATTACTGGAAACAAACCAGTAGCCTGTGAACTTGTCACAACAAAGAAATCATGTCTTCTCTGTATTGGGTCCCAGTCAACAGTCTAACTCAATTTTGGACCAAGGAAAGCTTCCACACTCTTTTCAAAGGTGACTTCACAGAGTCTTACTGTCCTCTAAACAGGGGGAAAGCAATGCTTATATTTATTTACATCACAACAATCAATTACTGAATCTTTATGCAATGTTTATAAGATGATTCTGATGCAAATGTATGCAATTGTAAGTTTTAGGAAGTTTACATACCATCACTTTGGGTCTTGCTTTTCATTTCCTCCAGCCAGGTTGGGATATCTTTCAGAGGAACATAATCTCGTAAATATTCTTTACGTCGCTCCTCCAATGTCATCTTCAACAAACGTTCTGTTTTGTAAAAAAAAAATCAGTTAGTATGAATTGTTGGAAATAATATTAATGGTTTCACTTGCAGCAAGGGTCTACAAATATATATTCACTTATTTGCTTCATTTCTATAGATGTGATATATAAAATATTACCTGGGACATGCCCATATTTTTACTGTATTTCATGTAATTTTTAAAATCTTAAATTTAAATTGTTTAGGGGGCATTGCCTCAAACAACGTTTAGGATATAATACCTTCCTTCTGCTACTGTTTGGATTTTGGTGTTGTTTCTTTCCATGAATTCTGAATAATAGTGTACATTTTACTGATGTTCATTTGATGGTTCAGATGTTCCTATCTTGATGTATATTTTATTATGTAAAATTATTATTAACTGCTTTCGGTGTGGTTTAATAATTTAGACGAGTAGTTCTCAATCTATGTGTCCCCAGGTNCACCGGTTGAGAACCACTGCTCTAGGCAAACCTGCATGAAGAGGAGCCATAAAGCATGTCCTTTGCCCTTAGAAAGAACTATCAATTGGTATATTCCCTCCTACTGTTTCCTAAAAGCACACCACAGACTGATGCTAGTGAAAACCTTTGCATCTTATAGCATCATTGTTAGCTTGCTTTGGTTTTATGACTGTATATTATTGTGTAGCAATGAAGCAATACAGATACTTGCATTGGCATCAACCTCTTCAATCTGAGAATTAGAAAACTTGTATTACCACCATCCATTGAGGAGATTCAGTTTGAAAGTTATACTTGGGGCCTATTAAGTGTATATGAAGCACCTGAAGCATTAATCTGAGGTGCCTTCTACACTGCCATATAAAATCCAGATTTTGCTGTTGGGTGAATTCTCTGCAGTCAGGAACTAGAGCAGGGGTCCTCAAACTTTTTATTCAGAGGGTCAGGTCACAGTCCTTCAAACTGTTGGAGGCCAAATTATAATGTGAAAAAAACCATGAATTCCTATGCACACTGCACATATCTTATTTGTAGTGCAAAAACACTTTAAAGCAATACAATAATTAAAATGAAGAACCATTGAAATAAATATAAACTTATTAGTATTTCAATGTGGAGTGTGGACTTGTTTTTGGCTGATGAGATAGAATTGTTGTTGTTCTGTGCTTTCAAGTCATTTCAGACTTAGGTTGACCCTGAGTGAGGGCCAGGTAAGTGACCTTGGAGGGCCGTATCCGGCCCTCGGGTCTTAGTTTGAGGACCCCTGATCTAGTTCAAAACAGACAATCTGGATTATATGGCAGTGTAGAAGGGGCCTGACTTGTCTCAGCAACAACTTTAACAAAATGTAACACAGCTTAAAAGAAACTCCTGTTGTCAGATACTTGAAAACAACGCTAAAAGCTACTGAATAAACTTTTTCACACTGGTTGTAGTCTGAAGAAAGTCCTCTGTCTTGCTGATGCAAAATGAGCATTTGCAATAACTTTAATCACAGGCAAAGTATATTATAGTCCTCAAGTATGATTCCAAATAGAAGTATTTCCATCAACAGCATTCAAAACTAGAATTTCCACAGTCTTTTAAACAGTATGTGTTAGAAAAAATGAACATAGCTCTCTTGAATGGAATAAAACTAGTTTAATGGATCATTGAAAGACTGACTTTTGGGCACTGAACCAGAGTTCATACTGAAGTAATACGGAACATTAGTTAATGGAGAAATACAATACTAATATAGGATACAGGGGTTTTCATCATTGTAATAAAAGCTACTACATTTTTTCAATTTTTACATTTTCTGGTTCTCACTTTTTATACTTACCTTAACAGTAAAATTATGTTCTGCAGTAAAATTAGTAATAATCTGATAACTGATTCCCAAGAATCATATTGTCATTTTTATAGCCTTTAAACCCATCATACATGATAAATATTAAGACATAATGGTTGTACATATACAAGAGTCCACAACAGCTTTTCTTTCACATAAGAAATTTGGATTTTTAGACCAATACATTCTATAACTTGTCTGATCCTATACATGTTTACAAAGCAACACAGTAATGGTTTTAGAGGAGCAACTTACTATCAAAACAAAAAGAAAAACTTACAAACCAAGGCTGGCTGGGGAGCTTAAAACACAAGTTTCCCATAATAATCTAGGAGGCATATATACCCTCATGACCCAGCATGTTGTAGTGGTTTGGACAACAATTCTGGAGATCAGAGTTCAATTCCCCTACTCGACCGTATAAACCAGGGGTCCTCAAACTAAGGCCCAGGGGGCCTAATACGGCCCTCCAAGGTCATTTACCTGGTCTTCGCTGAGGGTCAACCTAAGTCTGAAATGACTTGAAAGCACACAACAACAACAACAACAACAACAACAACAACCCTATCTAATCAGCCAAAAGTAGTCCCACACTTCCCATTGAAATACTATTAAGTTTATATTTGCTAAAATTGTTCTTCATGTTAATCATTGTATTGTTGTAAGTGTTTTGTTTTTGCACTACAAATAAGATATGTGCAGTGTGCATAGGATTTCATCCATGTTTTTTTCAAATTATAGTCCAACAGTTTGAGAGACTGTGACATGGCTCTCTGTTTAAAAAGTTTGAGGACCCCTAGTATAAACCCACTGAGTGACACTTGGCAAGTCACACACTCTCTGCCTCAGAAAAACCCATGACAGAGTTAACTTTAAGTCAGATTTGATTGGGAAGCATACAGCAACAACAACGCATTCATACCCCAGGCACTACAAACTACTTCTCATAGGAAGAAGAAACACCCCTGAGTATTGGGTTGTTCTAGGTTTTTTCGGGCTGTATGGCCATGGTCTGGAGGCATTCTCTCCTGATGTTTCGCCTGCATCTATGGCAAGCATCCTCAGAGGTAGTGAGGATGCTTGCCATAGATGCAAGCAAAACGTCAGGAGAGAATGCCTCTAGACCATGGCCATACAGCCTGAAAAAACCTACAACAACCCAGTGATTCTGGCCATGAAAGCCTTCACCAATACCTCTGAGTATTCATTAACTCAGAAAACTCTGAAAATAATGAGATTGCCATAAAGCAACAGGTGCTTTGAAGGCACTTACACACGCAAACACATGCACAAAATATTCTTATATTCAAGCTATTTATTGACAGTAACCCCAAATATTTAGTGGCGATCCCTTCTGAACAGTTACTTTAAACATGTAGATGTGGCAGTTAATGTTTACATTAACTGTTCAACATGTTCACTAGTTAACAAGATTAAGATATTTATTCCGACACAGAAAGAGTGGTGTGGTTGTTACGAGTCACTACTTTAGTCCGCCAGAGTGATCCACAAACTAGCATGAGACCTGCCCTGTTTTATGTGCCTTTTTGTAGCTTGTAACTCAGGGGGCTTCCTTTTTTATAACCACCATTCTTGTGGCCGGGCAATTGCTCTCAATCAGCTCAGCAGAAAGATAGCAGTCTTTGTTAGTTCAATGGAAACCCTGCTTAGTGCACAAGTTCAAAGTCAACTGCTTTTTGTACTCAGGAAGAACTGTTGATCCAACTGAAATGACCTGACACTTTTGCATACTGCTGGCATCAAAATAAAGCAAGGGGCATGTTTTTAAGAACAAACCACATATTCATTTTATAGTTGCATTCAAGTATAAGGGCCAGAACCACCCTGTTTTCACTATCCGCTATGTCAATAACCTCACAGTGGATTGCATGCTTAGTCAACCTTCACTGGCAACTTCGTTTTCAAAGTTGCAAGCAAGAAGTAAGGAGATGCTCTGTACTTTCATTTCCTAACTGGGACATGTGAAAAGAAAGTTGAGGAAACAAAAAAGCACTTCTTTCAGAATCCCCTGACATGTGTGTAGTGTGGCAAAACCTAGATAAGACATGCATTGTGTTATCCTCCCATACCTGAATACATGAAACAGGTTATGAGGGTCTAGCATGAATAAAAAGGTGACAAAATACACCATTCTTTACTGTGTGCCTTCAAGTCACTTCCAACTTACGGTGACTCTATTTATTTATTTACACATGTACTATATTTCTCCCAGAATCATAGAAGCATAGAGTTGGAAGAGACCTCATGACCCATCCAGTCCAACCTCCTGTTATGCAGGAAAAGCACAATCAAACTACCCCTGACAGATGGCCATTCGGCCTCTGTTGAAAAACTTTCAAGGAGTTTCCACACACTCCAAGGCAGAGAGTTCCACTGTTGAACAGCTCATGTGGTGGGGCCCAAGGTGGTTTGTCAAATAATTAAAACCCTAACATAGGGTTTTCTTTGACAAGATTTCTTCTAATAGGGCTTGCCTTTGCCTTCGACTGAGGCTGAGAGAGTGTGACTTGCCTAAGGTCACGGAGTCTCAAGTCCTATCAATTTCCCACCCCCCTTTTCGGTTCCATACCTGTCACAATATCCTGTGTTTTAAAATGTGATTTTAAAGTGTTTTCTAATCTACTTTTAAATATATTGTCGAAGGCTTTCATGGCCAGAATCACTGGGTTGTTGTAGGTTTTTTCGGGCTATATGGCCATGGTCTAGAGGCATTCTCTCCTGACGTTTTGCCTGCATCTATGACAAGCATCCTCAGAGGTAGGGAGGTCTGTTGGAACTCTTTTAAATAACTGCTTTACTGGGAGTTGTCTTTCACCTCCTAGGACGCTTGTGGCCCACTTTGTGCTGGTCAGTGACCATAATAAAGTTTTGTTGTTGTTGTAATATTTTTTCTTATAGGGCTTGCATTTGCCTTCGACTGAGGCTGAGAGAGAGTGACTTGCCCAAGGTCACCGAGTCTCTCAAGTCATTCAAACGAGCAAATTCAAAGATATACTATATATATAGAGAGAGGATAATGACAGGCCAGGAACAGAAGGCAAGTGGGGAGAAAAGGAGGGAAAAAGAAACAGGCCTGAGTCAAAGGCAACAGGGCAGAGCTTTCCAAACAGTATGTCACAACACTGTGGGCCCTTCTACACAGCCATATAACCTGTACGAACGCATCTCCCCCTATGAACCATCACGGAGATTAAGATCCTCCGGGGAGGCCCTGCTTTTCATTGCGCCATTGTCACAGGCACGATTGGTGGGGACGAGAGACAGGGCCTTCTAGGTGATTGCTCCCCGGCTATGGAACTCCCTTCCTGATGAGATCAGGTCGGCCCCCTCCCGCCTGTCCTTTAGAAGGATGGTCAAAACTTGGCTGTGGGACCAAGCTTTTGAGACAGGGCAATGAAGTGGCAGTGGGAATGATGACAGGGCCAACTGGATTTGATGCGGATGGCTAGGACGGTTTTAAATGGAGTATTTTAATATTTTCATAAAGAAAATTATCAAAATTTGTTTATGTATTGCATGTGAATTTGTGTCCTGGCACTGAATGTTTGCTGTATATATGCTGTGCTCCGCCATGAGTCCCCTTTGGGGCGAGAAGGGCGGAATATAAATGTTTTAAATAAATAAAAATAAATAAAGAATATCAAGGCGAATCATCCTTGTGTCCAGAGGAGGGCGACTAAAGTGATCAAGGGTCTGGAGAACAAGCCCTATGAGGAGCGGCTTAAGGAGCTGGGCATGTTTAGCCTGAAGAAGAGAAGGCTGAGAGGAGATACGATAGCCATGTATAAATATGTGAGAGGAAGCCACAGGGAGGAGGGAGCAAGCTTGTTTTCTGCTTCCCTGGAGACTAGGACGCGGAACAATGGCTTCAAACTACAAGAGAGGAGATTCCATCTGAACATGAGGAAGAACTTCCTGACTGTGAGAGGCGTTCAGCAGTGGAACTCTCTGCCCCGGAGTGTGGTGGAGGCTCTTCTTTGGAAGCTTTTAAACAGAGGCTGGATGGCCATCTGTCAGGGGTGATTTGAATGCAATATTCCTGCTTCTTGGCAGGGGGTTGGACTGGATGGCCCATGAGGTCTCTTCCAACTCTTTGATTCTATGATTTGCTTTGAACTGGGTTATCTGAGTCTACACTGCCATACAATCCAGTTCAAAGCACATAATGTGGGCCCGGGTTAAATGGCTGTGTGGAAGGGGCATGGATTATCTGAGTCCACATTACCATATAATCCAGTTCAATGTGGCTTTTATACAGCTGTGTGGAAGGGCCCTGGATTATCTGAGTCCACAATACCATATAATCCAGCTCAATGTGGCTTTTACACAGCTGTGTGGCAGGGCCATGGGTTATCTGAGTCCACATTACCATAAGATCCAGTTCAATGTGGCTTTTATACAGCTGTGTGGAAGTGGCCAGACTCCCACAAATGTAAGGAGACACCTCAGAGAGCCCTTCCAGACAGGCCATATATCCGAGGATCTAATCCCAGGTTTTCTCCACCACACTCTGCCCCGGAGTGTGGTGGAGGCTCCTTCTTTGGAAGCTTTTAAGCAGAGGCTGGATGGCCATCTGTCAGGGGTGATTTGAGTGCAATATTCCTGCTTCTTGGCAGGGGGTTGGCCTAGATGGCCCATGAGGTCTCTTTGATTCTATGATTCCTCTACCTTTCAAAATGTTGCACCCTGTAGTCTGAAAGGTGCGGAAATAAACAGCAAATAACTTGAAACAAACAGGCTTCAGTTGCTAGATATCATAGTCTCTTCCAACTCTTTGATTCTATGATTCTGTATATCCCAGATTATTTGGCAGTGGGGACTCATATAATCTAGTCTAAAGCAGAAAACCTGGGATTGGATTCAGGGATACAGGGCCTGTCTGGGGGCACTTCCACACAGCCATATAACCCAGAATATCAAGGCAGATCATTCACAATATCTGCTTTGAACTGGGTTATCTGAGTCCACACTGCCAGCAGATAATGTGGGATGTCTTACAGCTGTGTGGAAGAGGCCTGGAAGGGCCCAGAGTCTTATGTGAAATAAATAAACACAAAATATAATTGACAGATTTCGCATGAGATGTCTGTCCAGGTCTTGTTGAAGGACTGCCTGCCTCTGCTTTGGCCAGTCCAACTGAATGGCAGTGTCAGGAAAGTGTGTTTGGGGAGCTCTGCAGCAGGGTCTCGAACTGTGGGATCCAAAACAAACGAAAGGGAAAGGAGATGGGAGACTGGCAACACACCGCTGGCAGGAAAGCCAAGCAGGCCCTGGCTAAGGTTGCTGACAAGAGAGCTGACAGGAAGACCTCTCTCATTTCTCTCCCCCCCCCCCCCCCCCCCCGTTTTGGGCCAAATGAGGTGGCCCTTTGGCTGGGGCTCGGGCAGGAGTGGGGCATCCCATTCGGCTTGGGAGGGGGGGGGGGTGAGAGGCGGCCGGGCAGGGCGAGGGAAAGCCAAGCGGAGGGGGAGCCCCTTCCCCTCAGAGTGAGGTACCTTTCTCTTCCCTCCAGAGCTTTTTCCGCTTATTCCCGGGGTACATGGTGCTGTGGCTGGCGGAGGCTTTGAGCTGCAGGTTCCCCAGGCTCACGGGCTGCGGAGGAAACGGGGAGAGGAGGGGAGAGCGGAGCCGCGCTGGGCTGGAGACTGGTGCCGGTGCCTGCCTGCTTGCCTGCTTGCCCGCTCGCCTTGCCTGCCTGCTTCCTTGCCTGCCTTCCGTCCGCTCTCACTCCCCTCGCCTTCTCGCCGCGCGCGTCAACTGGGTCACGCCTCGCTCTAACCCAACAGACACCCCCGCAGCACCCGCCTCCTTCGCCGCTTCCCATTGGCCCCCGCGCACGCCGCTCACCGGGGCGTCCCGCCCTCTCAGCCCCCCTCCCCTCTCCAGCCATGGGTTTTTAAAGGGACAGGTAAACACAAGAAGAAGGTTGGATCTACTCTGCCCTATGTCCCAGGATCTGATCCCAGGTTAGGCTTTGAACTGGATTATATTGGCCCTTCCACGTCCATATAACCCAGAATATCATAGAATCATAGAATCAAATAATGTGAATTATCTGCTTTGAACTGGATTATATGATGGCCTTTCCACACAGTCATATAACTTGGAATATAAGACAAATACACAATATCTGTATTGAACTGGATTATCTGAGTCCACACTGCCATATAATCCAGTTCAATGTAGGTTTTATGCAGTTGTTTGGAAGGGCCCGAGTCTATCCTGCCATATAATCCACTTCAAAGCGGATAATCCACATTAACTGCTTTGAACTGGATTATATGAGGGCCCTTCCAAATTACCAATTATTGTAGAATCATAGAATCATAGAATCAAGAGTTGGAAGAGACCTCATGGGCCATCCAGTCCAACCCCCTGCCAAGAAGCAGGAATGCTGCATTCAAATCACCCCTGACAGATGGCCATCCAGCCTCTGTTTAAAAGCTTCCAAAGAAGGAGCCTCCACCACACTCCGGGGCAGAGAGTTCCACTGCTGAACGGCTCTCACAGTCAGGAAGTTGGGTTGTTGTAGGTTTTTTCGGCTGTATGGCCATGGTCTAGAGCAGGGGTCCCCAAACTAAGGCCCGGGGGCCGGATGCGGCCCTCCAAGGTCATTTACCCGGCCCTCACTGAGGGTCAGCCTAAGTCTGAAACGACTTGAAAGCACACAACAACAACAACAATCCTATCTCATCAGCCAAAAGGCTCACATTTCCCATTGAAATACTAATAAGTTTATATTTGTTAACATTGTTCCTCATTTTAATTGTTGTATTGTTTTTTAAGTGTTTTTTACACTACAGATAAGATATGTGCAGTGTGCATAGGAATTCATTTTTTTTTTAAATTATAATCCGGCCCTCCAACAGTTTGAGGGACTGTGACCTGGCCCTCTGTTTAAAAAGTTTGGGGACCCCTGGTCTAGAGGCATTCTCTCCTGACGTTTCGCCTGCACTTTGGCAAGCATCCTCAGCTCTCACAATCAGGAAGTTCTTCCTCATGTTCAGATGGAATCTCCTTTCTTGTAGTTTGTGTGTTTTTATATGTGATTTATAGTAATTGTATTGTTTTCGTTTATTGCTTTGTTTTATTGATGTGTTGTTGGGCTTGGCCTCATGCAAGCTGCTCCGAGTCCCTTGGGGAGATGGTGGCAGGGTATAAATAAAGATTATTATTATTATTATTATTATTATTATTATTATTATTATTATTATGTCATTACTCCGTTGCATCCTCCAGGACAGCAGAAAACAAGCCACCCCTCTGTTGTGTCAGCTCCACTGGCTGCCGATCCAATTCCGAGCACAATTCAAAGTGCTGGTTTTGACTTACAAAACCCTATACGATTGGGAAATAGAGAAAATGTGGAGGCAGTGGCAGACTTTGTATTTCTAGGTACAAAGATTACTGCAGACGCAGACTGCAGCCAGGAAATCAGGAGACGCTTACTTCTTGGGAGGAGAGCAATGTCCAATCTCGATAAAATAGTGAAGAGTAGAGACATCACACTGGCACAAAGATCCGCATAGTTAAAGCAATGGTATTCCCCATAGTCACCTACAGATGTGAGAGCTGTACCATAGGGAAGGCTGAGCGAAGGAAGATAGATGCTTTTGAACTGTGGTGCTGGAGGAAAGTTCTGAGAGTGCCTTGGACTGCGAGAAGATCCAACCAGTCCATACTTAAATAAATAAAGCCCAACTGCTCATTGGAGGGAAGAATAGTAGAGGCCAAGTGTTCAAGGAGCTCCACTGGCTGTCATTCATCTACCGGACCCAATTCAAGGTGCAGGTTCTTACTTACAAAGCCCTGAACAGCTTGGGACCCGCCTACCTGCGTGATCACATCTCTGTATACAAACCCACATGATCCCTTTGATCATCCCGGAGAGACCCTGCTCGATCCCACCAGCATCGCAGGCGCGATTGGTGGGGACGAGAGAGAGGGCCTTTTCGATGGTGGCCCCTCAACTCTGGAACTCACTCCCTAAAGACATCAGACAGGCTCCAACTTTGGCAGTCTTCAGGAGGAACTTGAAGACGTGGCTGTTCCAGTGTGCCTTCCCAGAATAATGACCCCATAGCACTTTGTCCTCCAAAGCACTTTACATTTCTTTAAGTCTGCTCGTATGCCCTTCCACAAACACCAGTATCACCTTCCATTCATGTCCCAGCATTATTTCCAATTTTAACTTAACATTTGGCCTTCCCACTGTTTTTAATTATGTGTTGTTTTATTGATAATGTTGTTTATCTTATTGTCTATGTGTTTTAATTGCTTGTATTGTTGTTATTATTGCTTGTATTGTTGTGTTTGGGCTCGGCTTCATGTAAGCCGCACCGAGTCCCTTGGGGAAATGGTAGCGGGGTACAAATAAAGTGTTATTATTATTATTATTATTATTATTAGATGAAGTACTTTGGCCACATCATGAGAAGAAAGGAAAGCTTAGAGAAGACAATGATGCTGGGGAAAATGGAAGGAAAAAGGAAGAGGGGCTGACCAAGGGCAAGATGGATGGATGGGATCCTTGAAGTGACTGGATTGACCTTGAAGGAGCTGGGGGTGGTGACGGCCGACAGGGAGCTCTGGCGTGGGCTGGTCCATGAAGTCACGAAGAGTCGGAAACGACTGAACAAATGAACAACAACATATCTTATATTTCGCACTCTTTGCAGGTGGAATATAACATAGGATCCTTCCACATAACCATATAAAACCCACATTGAACTGGGTTATATGGCAGTGTGGACTCTGATAACCCAGTTCAAAGCAGATATCGTGGATTATCTGTCTTGATATTCTTGGTTATATGGCTGTGTGGAAGGACCCTTTGTAGAACTACAGCTTCATAGAAGACTGTAGGTAGGTACACTTTCAGCTTTACAAGTGAACACATAATTGCAAGTAGTTGTTTTCAAATATATAGCTATGTTAGTCTGTATCAACATGCAAAGTCATCTCTAACACTTTTGGAGACTAACTTCACTTTATTTGTTACAATCCCTTCTTCTTCTGCTACAAGTATCCTTGTTTCCAGAGGAACAGAGGTGTTTTCATCTCCTCTAGCAAAAGCTAGAGGAGGAGAGCAATGTCCAGTCTCGATAAAATAGTAAAGAGTAGAGACATCAGACTGGCAACAAAGATCCGCCTAGTCAAAGCCATGGTATTCCCTGTAGTAACCTACGGATGTGAGAGCTGGACCTTAGGGAAGGCTAAGCGAAGGAAGATCGATGCTTTTGAGCTGTGGTGCTTGGAGGAAAGTTCTGAGAGTGCCTTGGACTGCGAGAAGATCCAACCAGTCCATCCTCCAGGAAATAAAGCCCGCTGCTCATTGGAGAGAAGGATACTAGAGACAAAGTTGAAGTACTTTGGCCACATCATGAGGAGATAGCAAAGCCTAGAGAAGACAATTATGCTGGGGAAAGTGGAAGGCAAAAGGAAGAGGGGCCGACCAAGGGCAAGATGGATGGATGGCATCCTTGAAGTGACTGGACTGACCTTGAAGGAGCTGGGGGTGGTGACGGCCGACAGGGAGCTCTGGCGTGGACTGGTCCATGAAGTCACGAAGAGTCGGAGACGACTGAACGAATGAACAACAACAAGCAAAAGCAATTAATAGTTATATGCTACTTTGTAAAACAATTGTATGCATGTTGACTTAGAAATGAACCCCAATGAGTTCAACAAGTGTTATCCCCAGGTACACAGGTATTGCATTTACAATTTAAAAGAAATGTGCACCTAACAAATTGTTAAATAGATAAAAAGGGCGTTATCCATGGTGTTATTAGATCTCAGCATTTGCCCTTGCTATTCCTCAACAGGTGTTTTTCTTGACCACAGTGAGGAGAGGCATGTTTCTTTATTGTCTTTTCTGCTATACTCAGCTCTGTTTCCCCTCATTTTCTCCAAATGTTTGCAGTGCAGTCCTATGCTTAATTGACCAGTGTTTTGTTGTTCCAATGCTAGTTAAAAATAAAACTTCAGTGTATATAAACCAGACTTCAAGTTCTCTTCTTTTTTAATTTTGAGACCCATCAGTAAAAAGCAACATTTAAAAAGTCACCATGAAACAATTCTGGATTTGTTTTGAGCAATAGAACTGGAGGGGAAAAAAAACCTTACACCCTTCAACACAAAATTGCTGGCCAGCCCAAATTTTTATTTTGAGCAATAGGAGAACATAGAAGAACATTTTTGCTGCCAATGTTAAGGCAACTAAGTGCCCTTCCACATTGCCCTATATCCCAGAATATCAAGGCATAAAATCCTACATTATCTATTTGAACTGGAGTATATGGCAGTGTGGACTCAAATCTTCTTCTTAGGCAATCCCTCGTTTTCCGAGGAGGATTGTCTTCCAATATTCTTGTGGGTCCGTATGTGGCTGTGGAGCCCTATTCTTGCTCTGCATCTTCTTTTGCAGTGAGGGCATTGGTTTCCAGGTGGAAGGTGGTCTCGGTCGGGGTTGGCTTGATGCGCCTTCCTCTTGGCACGCTTCTCCCTTTCACCCTCCATTCGTGCCTCTTCAAATTCTGCAGCACTGCTGGTCACAGCTGACCTCCAGCTGGAGCGGTCAAGGGCCAGGGCTTCCCAGTTCTCAGTGTCTATGCCAGAGTTTTTAAGGTTTGCTTTGAGCCCATCTTTAAATCTCTTTTCCTGCCCACCAACATTCTGTTTTCCATTCTTGAGTT